AACACTTCCAAATGCAAGTTTCTAGATATTAGTCAAGGTCCATCTTTGCAAGCAGGCCTTTCTAAACATAGTCTGAGGCCTACCATCTCTGTTATCTTTGAATACTTAACTAAGATGCTATCTCCCAGATTCTCTGTAGTTAAGTTATACTGTTCCCCATTTGTAATTCCTAAGTATCTTGTGTGGAAGTATTTTAATTTCATAAATATCTCCATTTCCTTTCAAACTTGTAATTCTTTTTTTTTTTTTTGAATCTTGGTGTGCCCTCAAAGATTCCTGTTTATTTCAGTGAGTTACAACATGTTACCATTGTTATGTTCAAATTATCCCTGATTTGGACAGGAACAGGCCATTAAAGTTATGTCTTTTTGAGATGCTCTGTTATTTTTGAACACACAAAAGATGTTCTAAACTTGTTTTGTACTCTGCCTCAATCATGGTTGCAACCATTTTTCTAAGGAACCTTGATTTCCTTTTGAGAATGGGGGGGGGGGTGGATTACACTGAGAGACCAGGACCTTTGTATAATAGTATAGTGCAGGTGTACTCACTAGTAGTGGGGTGCCACTGTTCCTGAGCTCCCTTAGAGCACAGACCTGGAGGATGTGTGTATGCTTGTTACTGTGTCCGTTGATCTTTTTATATTAAAAAGCCTTCACAGTGATGTCACCCATTTCATCTTCATAAGGTTTTTTTCCTGGTTTTCTGTTGTTTAATACTTGTAATTCCCTTCTTTACTATAAAAGTTCAGTGTCCCTATAAAGGTAACCGTTCTCCCCCTCTACCCTACCATCCACACATATACAAACACAGTTCCTTCACACACAGAAGGAGATTATGGCTGTGCTTTTTTTAAAAAAAATATTTATGCATACAGAACTGGGGTACAGGCCAGAGGTTCAGGGGCAGTCAGAGGATTCACCAGAGACAGAGTGGGGATCAGAGTAGGCAGATTAATGAACTAACACTGCTGAGGGAAGCAAAAGGTGAGAAAGGAGAGGTCTGCCATGGGGGTCACCTCCCTGGCAGGGGATTGAATTCCTGCTGGAGTGCCTGCAGCTAGCTTCCTAGTGCTTGTTTTAACCCCTTGTGCTGCAGGTAGGGTCTGTGGCTGTGCTTTGATGAATATATTTTGACTTCATACACACACACACATTTTAGGACATATTTTAAGAGTATTTCTGTAGGGAACATACATAAGTTCTTGAAAAGACAATAATGCAAAAATTACCTATTTTCCACTAGAATCTAGTATTTACCATTCTGATAATGTCCAGTGTGATATTGCGCAATTCATTTAATCTCCCTTAGGTTGTACTTGATTAGTTGACCTCTAAGATCGCTACCAGCTCTAAAAGTCTGTAGTTTCTAGTTTCAGAATAACAGAATAAGATTGTGTTGTATGTACAGACTATAGTTAAACAAAAATTGATTTTGACTTCAAAAGGTTTCAGTTTAGATGAAGGGCTACAGCCAGTGGATAAAAAGCTTTTGACAAAATTCAGTGCCCTTTCATGCTTAAAAAAAAGCAATAAAGCATAGGAATAGAAGTAAAATATCTCAATATAAGGCCATATATATAAAAAGCCTCAGCTAATGCCATGCAGAACTGTGAAAAGCTGAAAACGCTTCCTTTAAGATAAGGAATAATACAGTGATGCTCATTCTCACCACTTTTATTCAACATAGCATCACAAGTCCCAGCTAGAGCAGTTACGCAAGAGAAGTAGTAAAAGGCATACGAAGTGGAAAGAAAGAAGTAAAACTGTTACTTAGTGATGACTACATAATTTATATGTAGAAACTCCTAAAAGATTTCACCAAAATAATTAGAATAAATTAATTCAGTATAGTTACAGGATACAAAATCTCTTTTGTAAATGAATGAAAGATGAACATTCACAAAGAGATATTAAGGAGAGTCCATTGTAAAATTGTATCAAAAGAGTTAACTAGCTAGTAATAAATTTTAACTAAGGGGGTAAAAGACCTTTATAATGAAAGTGACAACACGTTAATGAAAGACATTGAAGTACACAAATAAATGGAAAGATACTCTTTACTCATTGGGTTGGAAGAATTAATGTTGTTAGCATGTCCATATTACTCAAAGCAACCTACTGGTGTAGTGTAATTCCTGTCAAAATTCCAGTTGCATGTTCTGCAAAAGTGGAACAACCAATCCTAAGATTTCTTTGAAATCACAAAAGGCCTCAAATAGCCAAAGCAGTATTGCTCTTTTGTGGGACACTGGCACATTCATGAGGGCTCTGCCCTCATGAACCTGAGTGCTTCTTAAAGGCCATACCTAGTAACACATTGGACATTGAATTTCATCTCATGTATTAAGGTGAGAGGGAAAGGCTCACATAGACAAACATTCAGACCATACGGAACTCCCACCCTCCTGCCTTGCAGTCTTCTTGTATCTGATCTTCTTTTATAGTTTTCTACGTACTCCTGTCTTTTTGACAGGTTGGTGCAACTCCAGATAGTGCTCTGCTTGCTGGTTGGGTGCTTTGTGGAGCTCACCCATCTAATGACCTGTCTCTGAGATTCATACAGTCAGCTTCTGTCATCTTGTCTAACTTTGGTTTGTTGTCACCACGTGTTTTTCCTACATCTGTCTCAACATTGTATTTTCCTCGTACCCTTGGTGCCCTTTGCTCCAGTTGGTCCTTCCTACAGTTTATAAGACTGGAATTTTATATCTATAAAATCATTAAGCTTGCCAATTTGGTCAAGATTTCCTTACTAACAAGATTTAGCTAGTTCTTCTGTGGTGTAGCATTTCATTTATGTTACATTTCTCTTTGGCAGAGCTTGCCAATTAGTGCTCCAGGGCCAAATTCAGTATGTAGAGGGCTTATACAAATGGGAAATTTTACTTACAAAAGGGTTTTGGTTATTCTTGGGGAAAAAACCAAAACAGTTGATAACCTTGGGATTTACTGGTCTCTGCCAGTTTTTAAACAAAAATCAAAGCATCAGACAACATTGTGTTTACTGGACCTGCGCTCTGTCCTGCCCTCAGTCGCCTGTGGCTGAGTACTTGGTGTTCTAGCTGGGAGCTGCAGTATCAGGTCCTTGCCCTTGCTCTGGAGTGCTTGCACTTCTGGCTCTTTTTTTGGAGGACTCTCCTTGGACTGTTGTAAAGGAGTTTCTGGGAATTTTTTCACCTACCAAAGTCCTTGACCCCCATTGAACAGGGGGAGGAGTGTGCAAGCTGGTCTTCGGGGCTGGGTCAAGAGAAGTCTGCAGTGATATAACCTGATGTCTCTGTGGGACTTGGTGGATGCTGCCCTCTGAGGGTTTTGCTCTTGATTGAACTCTGGTTACTTCCTTTACTCTGCCTCACTCTGCCCACTCTCCAGCCCACGGCTTCTTGTTTCAAGGTCTGCTGGGAACGGGACCCACAGTAAAGAGGATGACTATAAAGGAATCTTTCTATTTTCTTTTATAGTTATTGACATAATTCAGCTTCTGCTAAGAAAAAAAAAATCATTAAGTGTGACTATTTTAACATCACCAAATTTGGTTTGTATATCACTACATTCAATTTGCTAATGTTTTGTTGATGTTGTTCACATCTGTGAGATTGTGAAAGTTATTGATCTGTAATTTTATCTCCCTACATATACCATTGTTAGGTTTTGTACTGGAGTTTATCCTGGCCTCAAAAATAAGTTGGAGATCATTCCCCGCTCCCCCGTTTTTTTCTTGTTTTTTTTTTTTTTTTGTGAAAGAGTTTGTGTGAGGTATTATGCTGTCTTGAATGTTTGATATGGCTCACCTGTGATGTGATTTAGGCCTGTTTCCTTTGAAGAGGAGGCTTTTGATTGCATACAGAGAGTCACTTAGATCTTCTGTGGTTTCAGTTTTGATTAAGATACGTGTTTTTAAAGGATTTGCTCACACTATTCATATAAGTTATAAAGTGAAATATTATTCACCATATTCTCTTACTATGTTTTTTATTTTGCATTTTATTTTTTAAACTTAATTTCAGATGAGTCTAGATTCGCAGGGTGTTGTAAAATTAGAGCAGAAATGGTTAGGCGAGGTCTCATGTAGCACCTTCACTCAGAGTTCCCCCAGGATAAAAGTCAGGAAAACAATGCTGGTACATACCCTTGTTCTCTATCAGTTACAGGCATCATGTGCAATTTAGATCCCTTTCACAGGGAGCTGTGTTTCAGAAATAGGTATCTTAACAAAGGTCTGCTGTCACTGTACCTGTTTTGGAACTGTGTTGAACATTCAGTCAAGTGGTGTGATTTGGTGATGGTGGGTGGGGTGGGTGGGGCAGTCTTGAGACAGATGGTTGCTTTGCTAGCATAAAAATAGTTGTTAGAAATATGCAGAAGTGGGCAGAGCTGGGCTAAGAAAGCTGGCCATTATTTCTTAGTACAAAGCTTGATAGTTCTGTTAAGGACATGATGAATATCTTTGATGGAATTTTGTTTCCCTGTTTGTTTTTATTAGGATGAAAGTTAAAAAACTGCCCATGATTCTAGCTCTACACCTGAAGAGATTTAAATATATGGATCAACTTCATCGATACACAAAACTTTCTTACCGGGTAGTTTTTCCTTTAGAACTTCGTTTATTTAACACTTCAGGCGATGCAACCAACCCCGACCGAATGTACGACCTTGTTGCCGTTGTGGTTCACTGTGGAAGGTAAATGCATCTGTGGGACACGGACGTGAGTCTGGCAGTGGCGCGCTCAGCATGTTCATGGGTGACTCAGATGTAGAGCTTCTGGAGGTTCTTCTCCCCTCATGACTTAAGTATCAAGATAAGTTAATTCAAAATGAATTTTCCAGGTATAAAACATTTTATCATTTCCTCCATCATACTGCAGTATGCTAAAACCATACACCATTGCCTGGATTTTACTTTTCTTATTATTTAAATAGCATTCTAAGAATACTTTAAGTCTTTTTATTTTGATTGTTGGTGAAAACCTTCAAAGATCATTTTTCTAATTTTACCAATTATTGTTTGTTTCCAGTTGGCCACTTTAGTATGATATTTTACTCTTAAGTCATAAAATAGTTCCAAAAACTCTCAGGTTACAAGAGCATCACATAATCAAAATTTATATTTAGCAGCTACAGTCTTCATTGAACACTTAGAATTTCCTGTTACAATTTTAAAACAGGGCACTCATTCCTCCTCCCATCCCTGTTGAAACATACACTGACATCATGTCATGTTTTGCCCAGCTAAAACAGTTCCAACTTTCTGCTCAGATACATAGTGACATTTGGGAGGGGGTGAACTGCCTATAAAAGTCTTCGACCTCCACTGCCCATGTCTGCCTGGCTCCCACGTTTTATTCTGTGAAATAACCCCCTTCTATTTCTATTATTAAGGGTATGGCATCTAAAAGGAGGACCTTAGAGAACATGAGAACCTTAGGGTGGTGATTCAGACCAGAAGTCTTATAGTCAGAGAAATTTTGATTTTAGTTCTGTTTCTGCCTTTTGTGGCCTTTGTGATTTCATAATAAATTTCCTGATTATGAGTTTTCAATCAAATGTGAATAAAATGAACTACTTCTCTATTGTGTAAAAGGGATTAGAAGGAAATAGAAATCATTTAGCTGCTACCGTAACACCCTAATTCTGCCTGCTACTACTTAAAATTCAGTTGACAGAATCCTCTACATAAGTTGTATTAGATCTTCTGGAATTGCTCTACACCCTATATCTTGAACACCGAAATTTCTAATCATAACCCAGGGTCACTTCCCCACTCCGTCTCCTGAAATTTAAGCTGCCTCTCCTCTTTACAGCCTCTAGCCCCTGACTTTACCCCCGTAAACCCTTGGTCTCATTATCTCTGCCAACCTTATTACTACAGTCAGTTATTTAAAGTACGTTTTCACATGCACTGTTTCTTCAATCCCAGTTGCACAAAATTGCCTGGACATGTATAGTGACTTTTTTCCCCGCTCAGGGTATCTGACTGTAGTAGAAACTCATTCTTGCTTGAATTCTTCATAGCAGTTCTTTCAGATTCCCTCCAGCCTCCTTCCTGTCCCCTCCTGTGCCTTTTAAACTTTGCTGGGAGTTTCCCTTGGTGCTCTTCTACTCAGTCCACAGTCTCCTTCCATGCCCCTGTATTCAGGTTACTAGATGCGCATTGTACAATTTACTGCTTTGAGTTACTAATCAGCTTATTTGTCTGTTTCCCTTATGAGAATGGGCACTTCTTAAAACAAGATATAATTTGTCTGTTAACAAAAGGCTAATCGTATTTTAAAGCTTTCATTCTTTTAAAATATATTGGTTTGTTTGTATGTGGTTTTCATATGAGAATATAGAAGACTTGATTATTTGCCTGTGATCTACGGCTCTTAAGGAATCCTCACGCTCAGTATTTCTGCAGCAGTTCCCCTTGTCCTCTACCCCCAGTGCTGGCGCAGAGATTTCCAACAAATGTTTGTGAGTTACTCAGTACTATCCTTGAAGCCCATCTCGGATCCCATCTCAGATCCCGTCTCTGTGACACAACCAACCTTTCTTACGCATTCAGCCCTTTCCCTCCTTCCGTTCACTGTTTGAGGAATTCTGTATTTCACACCTCCGTGGCCCTACTTTTATATCCTATTCTGCACTGTTTTCGGAGCATTACACTGCTGCACTGGTGGTCTAGTACCGGCCAGGTAGTTAGTTTCTAGTCCCCACCACAGTCAGCACTGTTACTTTGTGCACGTAGGCATGCACACGTAGTGAACCGAGCTTACTTTATGTTCAGAATGGAAACTGTAGCAGACAGCTTCCCTAGACACAGGTTTAGTACCCTAGCCCTTCACCTGGCTTTTTAGTTTCTGTGATTAACTTGTCTAATAACTCGGCCAACTGGCCTTTCATACTGGCTCATACAAGGGAGTAGTATTTGGTATTAACATTGAATGCTAATTCAAATTAATGTTGCTTGATAATTTCAGGGGGGAAGAATAGGTAGAGTATTTTGATCCATTGCATTCTTTCTACTTTATAAAACATATAATTTAAGACATAGGAAAATATTATTAATAAACATTGTCTAAGATTAATTTTTCTTTCTTTTTGTTTTAGTGGTCCCAATCGAGGACATTATATTGCAATAGTTAAGAGTCATGATTTTTGGTTGTTGTTTGATGATGACATTGTAGAAGTAAGTAGTTTGTTAACTTATTTTCTTCAATATTATAACTGTAATTTACTCTCCTTTGCCCTCTCAGTTCCCCATTCATCTCTGACAGGGATCAGTGTTAGCCAGTGCCTCGTCTTCAGATTATAATTTGATCCTACTTCCTACTCCCTAAAATGCCAGTACCAATATTTGAATGCTCAGCGAGCTAGCCTTTATATAACATTTAGGTCAAAAACAAGGCAAAGTTTTCAACAACAGAGCTTGTTTAAAAAGTACCTTGCCTTTAAAAATATATATGGAACTATAAGGTAAAATGTATAAAATCTTAACTAGCAAAGAACTTGATGACATGTGTTTTTTTTTTTTTAAGATTTATTTTGTTTATTTATGCATATAAGAATTGAGGTGTAGGCCAGAAGTGCAGGGGATGAGAAGTTTCACCAGAGACAGTGGGGTGCAGTATAGGCAGATCTACTGAAATGCTCTGCTGGGGGGAGCAGTGGGTGAGACAGGAGAGGTCTGCTGTCCCATGTGTGTCATCTCCAGGGATTGAACTCGTGAGGCAGTGGCTGGTGATAGCTTGAGAGTGCTGAGGCTTTAACCCCTGCATCACCAGGGAGACCTACAATTTGATAACTTTTGACATACGCATCTGTGAGTGCACACATAATCACCATCCTAATCAAGATTGTACATTTTCGGCACCCCCGCAAGTGTCTTTATTTCCTTGGTTTCAGAACTCAAAGCTTTCCTTTGCTCTACCCACCATCCCCTCAGACTTGCCTTTTTGACTTATCATAGTTAATTAGTTTTCTTTATGTATGAATACAAAGGAACTTCCCAAGTAGGATTTCTTTTTCTGGATTTTTTCAATCTATATCTCTGAGATTTATTCTTGTTTCTTGTAGTCATTGTTATTACCACAGTTGTGGGTTTTTTTGTTTTTGCTGTGTAATTTTCCATTGTGTGAATACACCAAATCTGAAACTTGGCTTTTTGTCCACCACTGACTGTGACTACAGCTGCTTTCATTATCCTTGTCCCAGTCTTGCTGACACATGTGCTCATTGTTCTCAGGTGTATTTTTTCAGGTTGGGTCATACAAAATTGCTGTTCTTATAAGTCCTAAGTGGTTGACAATTAATGGTTTCATCCAGTTTAATCTGTATGTAGGAGTAGAATGGCTGGAACAAAGGATTCTTCTGTAGTTTTAGAAAATGATGCTAAATATTTTATCAGTGTCTATGCCGTTTTACATTTCTTTGAACTGTGTGTGAGAATTGTAGTTGTTCTGTATTTTCCACCAGTACTTTGTATTACTGATCTTTTAAACTTAAGCATTTCTGATTGTACAGAGCGATTTTATAAGTGAGAAATTTTATAAATGAGAAAGTGACTAGCATAATTCTAAGAAACTTTCATGATTTTACTGTACTTTAAAAGAATTCAGAGAGCTCATATTTTGATGTCACATTTACTTTTTGCTTTTTCTGATATTTACATTTTGCTCCACAGAAAATAGATGCACAAGCTATTGAAGATTTCTACGGGTTGACATCAGATATCTCAAAGAATTCTGAGTCTGGTTACATCCTTTTCTATCAGTCTCGGGACTGAGGGGGAACCGTGATGAAGAGATATTTTCTGCCTCATTTCTTCTCTGGTTATTTTGGAAAGGATCAAGCACTGATTTTTCAAGAAAAGAGAAATGCAGGAAGCTCAGGGGGCAGTAGCGCACTTTGCACACACTAAAGCAAAGACTATGATTAACAGGCTCTTCCTATCATGGTAGTTGATTTATTTGCTCAGGTATCATGCTGTCTGTGCAGTTCCATACACCAAGGAAGTAAGATCAGAGATACCAGCTCCTCTTGTAAAGCAGCCTTCCGTGATAGATATGCATTTTCTCTTTATTAATTGCACCAATAATGATTTGAACTCCTTGGGGGGTGCAGTAGAAAGAATAAGGAATCTGTGCTAGGTTGTATTGGTAACTTAAGGAGATAATATTAAACACACTGCATAAATTGCCTGTGTTGAATATTACAGCAAGAGTATTTGGTGGTCTTTTTAGGCATGAACCAGAAATATTGGTGGGCCCAACACTTGCAGTTGCCTTCCTGATGTTAAAGACAGAAAACAGACAAAACACCTAACTTACAGATACTAGAATCCAGTGTCAGGAAGACAAATATGTTTTGCTTCTCTGAAGAAGCTTATAATAATATACAATATATGTATATGTAGGGAACAATTGGTCAAAAGTGGCTTTTTGTTTCCCCAAGGGGAAAGACTGGCTTTGTAATTATAATTTTTTTCCTTATTTATTTTACTTAAAACTGGTAGAGTTTAAGTATTGTATGAAGTGCCCATGATTCTGTCAGCAAATTTAAGTATATTTTTATTAGTTTTGTCAGTTTGACTAGTCCTTTTGTTTGTTTCTATTTTTAAGTTGAATTTAAACTATTTTAAATCAAAAACTTTAAAACATTGCAATGAGAGGAGGAATTTTTTTTTTTTTCAGGAGGAACTGATATCTCTGGCTAACTATTTGTCCTTTTTTTAAATAGTCTTAAGTCAGTTATTTCAGTAAAATAAAAAATTATCAAAAATTCCCTATAGTTGTTGGAATGATAAAAGCAGTTCTGGTGTAGAGGTGATGTACCAATCTTTAGACTTTTTAAACATGGTTTCAAGTTGAGACCATGATTGTTAGGGAAATTATATCATAGCAGTTATGTTATTTTCATATGTCATTCTTTACCTTGGAAAGAAGCGATCCACTCTATAACCCCAGCAGCCTGGATAGCTGGCTAAAAAACCCTTTAATATTAAATTTAGGAAAGTAGATCAGGAGTATAGAAAGTAATGCTCTTCCACCCCTCCCTACCTATCCCCTGCCTTTCACTTTTATAAATCTTATTGGAAGAGTGTTCAGAAGTTAAACTTTATGTTTGTTAAGACTTTCATTCTTTTGGAAGTTTTAAGAATATATGTAATATATGTAAACCATTGCAGTTGACACTTATCCATGCAACAGTAAATTGTCTGACAGTGGCCGAATGTAACTTGCAGAAAATAATTGAATATATGTTCAGAATAATAGCAATCAGACCTTGGATGTTCTTTATGAAAAATCTTTTCAGGCAGTAATCTTTATTTTTAATTGCTGTAATTTTCTAAACTTAATACTGTTGAATATGAAAAACAAACAACAAAAAAGAATGTTTTTGTCTGCTGCTATTATTAACATTTATTATCTGTATCTTTTAGCTCAGGAAATGACTTCACCTATTCGTCTGTTAACAGATCTTTAACAGGGTCACTTAGCTAATTGGGCTGTTTAAACAGATGTGCTCGGAGGAAATTATGATGTATTTTGACAAATTGCTTTTTAAGATACAGTTTCTAGAGCCTTACCCTGACTGGATTTGTTTTGTACAGATTATATAGCCTGCCAACATTGCACAGAGAATCACAACTGAGAATGGGGAGGAGGTCACAGCAGTGGAAGTGGATAAACTTTTTATTATGAGGGCTTAAAACCAAATCATCTTGGAATTTAAAGCTATATTTCTGCAGCTTTTAGTATAAAGAAGAGAAGTAAAATGAACTGAATCAGTTTTACACAAGTTAGGCCACAATATGTATCAGAAAGGTAGATGAAGTCATTTGCATAAAGGTACAGCATTAGAAATACTATGTTGTGTTTTTACATTTTGCATTTTAAAAAGTACAGTAAAGGCCAAGGTTAAAGTTCATGTTAAAGCCAGTTAATAGCATTCTTTTGAGTTCATGGTAGTCACACACTGTTCATATCTACACCACATCTAATAGTAAGACTGTCAAGGGAGGGACTTACGGGGTGATAGGGGGTGATGGTCCTCAGTTTACCTTTTTACTCTTAGTGCAGTGGCGTGTAGGTAAAATGTTTCAGAACGTATCAGAAACTCAACATACTTTAAAAACATAGGATTTAGGAAAAATGCAGATAGAGGAAGAAAGAAGAGGACCCATACAGAGAGCAGTGTGAGGTTGTCTGTTGGTTGACTGCGAATTGAAGGGGGAGGCGGGCTTAAGCTGTAAGTGGTGACTGACTGTGCTCTAACTGTGTATATGTTTGCTAGGATGGCTGTCCTGTGTTTTGTGTATCGGAGTAAAAATTTCTATAAATTATCATAACTAAAAGTAAATATTCTAAATTAAATTTCACTTCAAAGTCATACAGTTTCTGTCCTGGAAACTCCAGCTATAGAAGATTCCCTAAGACAGGGGCCATGGGCTTTGGGAAAGGGAAAGAAGGAAATGTGTAATATATGGGTCCTATTGCCTCTATCCATCAGTCTAGGGCTGTTTTCTTTCCTTGATGGCAGTAGAAAGACCTCATTTTCATAACATACTACTCTTGACACTTTTCTTTAAAGATACTTTTCATTAAAAGATTCTCTTGAGGTATTTAACTGAGAGCTGGGAGGCTATGGCGCTCAGGTCCTGGCTCTTCGGTGAATTTAACTGTGACCTTGGGCAAGTCACTTAACCTCTCTGTGCTTCAGTCTCCCTATCTTGTAAAATGGGAGTAATACCTACCTCACAGGGTTGTTGTGGGGATTAATTAGATATAATGTCTGTAAAGCATCTAAGGTTCTTGAAGAAGGCGCTATATAAATACAAAATAATATCTATTAAAGTTGGTTTATTTGTGTTTGTGTGTTTTTAAGTGTTTTTTTCTTTTTTTTTCCCTTTGTACCCAAAATGTATTGGAAATTGGAAGAGCACATTTTGGAAATGTCTTAGAGCTTTTGCTCAAAGGTTATTACTTTTGTTATCCAAAGAGAGGTTCCCAGAACAGCATTCCAAGTGTGGTGAAGCAACATTCCACATGTACCTGCATTTAATCAGCACCTACCTTGAGTTTGTTTGGGGGGCAGGGGGTGTAAGCACTCATTTTAAAGTGTCCTTTAAACATCTGTAAAAATTAATTTTTTTGATGATGTGTTTTGAGGTAATGTTGATTTACATCACAGTATATACCTCAGAGGTCAACACCCTCTACAGTGTGTTACTGGCCACAACAGGAGTTCTCCCTTGGAACCCCCCAACCTCCCCTGTGGTGGCCTTGGTCAGAGTCTGTTGAGCTCTCCACACTCCTGTCTTTATCCCTGCTCCCTCTCCCCTGCTGATGCCTAAAGTCTTTAAAGGAGGAAATTCCCTGAAAGTCACTGTTCTTGCCACTTCTTGCTTCCAGTGTGCTCCCTTAAAATCAGCCAGAGCACTCAAAGTCTTTCCTATTGTTTAGTTACTTAATCATGTTGCCAACACTTTGCTTATTCACTAATCTTTGAAAGACCATTCCTAGAATAAACAGAGTAATGGGTAAACTAGATGGAAAATGGGGCCTAAGATCATATGCTCTAGAAAGGGTGTTTCTGGGTCATGCTTCATTCTGAACCTTGAATGAATGAAATTCTGTATAATTCAAGAGTATTTTTCATAAATTTGAAAACCCAAGACTGCTCCTTTTCACGTTCCCTTGTTCCCTGGTATCTGTACATGGTTACCACCTCTCATTTATGTTTTCTGTGACATCTTACTACCACCTTATATATTTTTTTGAAGATTTGTTATTTGTGCGTACAAAACTGGGGTATAGGCCAGAGGCGCAGGGGCAGGGGCCGTGAGAGGATTCACCAGAGACACAGTGGGGAGCACAACAGGCAGATAGTCAGGTCAGGCAGGATGGAACTCATGCGGAATTGGCTTAAGCTTCTTAGTGCTGTGCATTAACCCACTGCGCCACCAGGGAGGGCCCACTGGCTTTTTTTTTTTTTTTTAATTAGCTATAGCTTTATAATAAGTTTTGAAATCAGTAATGTGAAGGCCTCTAACTTTGTCATCATTTTTCATGATTGTTTTGACTATTCAGGGTCCTTTGAGTTTCCATGTGAGTTTTAAGACTTTTTTTAGTCAATGTAAAAATTGCTGCTGGGACTGTTGATAGAGATTGCATCACATCCATCGATTGCTTTGGTAATGTCCTCTGAGCAATATTGGTTCTTCCAGTCCATGAACATGAAATGTCTTTCCTTTTTGTGTGTGTAGTCACACTTCTTTAAGCAATGTTTTCTAGTTTTCTGTGTGTAAGTCTTTTTACTGCCTTGTTAAAGTCATCCCTAAACGCTTTATTATTTTTTTATAGATTTTTAAATTTTATTTTTGCATAGAAGAACTGGGTATAGGCCAGAGGTATGGGGGTAGACTCAACAGAGACAGTGGGGGGCAGACCAGGTGGATTGACTGAAATAACACTGCTGAAGAGAACAGCAGGCAAGACATGAGTGATCTGCTGCATTGTGTGGGTCACCTCACTGGCCAGGGATTGAACTCAGACCACAGGGGCTGCTGAGAGATTAAAAGTGCACCAAGGAGGCCTAAGAAATCTTGTATTTTTCTTGCTTAATTGCACTGACTAGACCTTCAACATTTTTATTCAATACTATGTGTTATATATAAGTGGTTAAATCAGGCATTCTTGCCTTATTCCTAATCTTAGAGGACACAATGTCAGTCTTTCACTGTTGAGTATGTGGTAACTGTTTTTTCATGCATGATCTTTATCATATTAAGAAAGTTTTACTATCTCTAGTTTGTATTTATTAACATTTTTATTTTATCAAATACTTATTGAGATCATGTGGACTTGTTTTTTTATTTTTGCTTTTGTTAATGTATATTACAGTAATTAATATTTTTACCCTTACATTTTGGGAATAAATCTTACTGTCATGTTACAGATAATCCTTTAAAAACTGCTGGATTTGGTTTGTTGGTGATTTTTGTGTAAATATATTAAAAGGTATTTGCTGGTCTGTAGTTTTCTTTGGTTGCAGGGTAATGTGGGCCTCATAGAGCAGTTAGGAAATGCTCCCTTTGAGCTGTTTGGAGTTTGAGAATATCAAAAGATTTTGCAAACAATTTATTTATATACTCACTGTAAGTAATACTAAGAATGTCAGAGGCATACTCTTTGTCCTTTAGGAATCCAAAGGAAACATTAAGTTGCTAGGAAAATCAGCTGTAGGTAGGTGTCACTGATCCAGACCCAAAGTGTGTCTGAATCTGAAGATCAAAAAGTCAAAGGAACTGGGAATACTTCATATCACAGGAATTAAAGAATGTTAACTCATGATAGTGTTTGGTAATAGAATTTGTAAGCCAGCTTCAAAATCATTTCCCTAATCAAGGGCTAATTACTCTTAGGTATTCTCACTCATGCAGCCACTATGGACCCCTGATCCTGAGAAATCAAAATTTTCTTTCCTACACCATATGTCATTTATCAAAACTCACCTTAATGATGATTCCTTTCTTAATTGTCCTCACCCTTGTCAGTGATTAGCCCTTTGATTAAACTCTGACTTAATCAAGAAAACTTATATATTTTAATCAAGAAAACTTCATTCCT